GCTGCTGGCACTGTGCCTATGTTCTAATACGGATTTCTAAATGTGCTAAAAAATTAAAATGGAAATTTAAAAAATATTTTTAAGTAAATGGCGGTGAGGCTATTTATATAAACATGTATGAAATGATGATAAACAAGTGCTTAAGGGAAATCACAGTCAGAATACTGGCTTTCTTTTTACTTTTTACGATTTTATTTGGGGTCCAGTCTTCCAAAAAGTACTCCAAAAACTCAGAGACACCTGACAGCAGTTCGCAGCTCACAGGTACAGAGGTTCAATGTGAGGGTCTAGGATGGAGTTTGCATGGGTGCTGGGCTCTGGTGCTGAGGAATACATGAGCCATCAAGGGGTGCCTCCAGACCCCCAAGGGCTGTATCCAGCTAGACTTAGGGTCACCATGGTTACAAAGACCAAACCAGGGTCAAGTGCATGCAAGGCACAGATCTTAATCTATGTTCTCTCTGTCTCTAAGCTTGTTTTACAAAATAGAAAGACTGAGACCAAATGATTTTATTCTCACAACATGAGGATCTGATTTGTAAACTCTTATGCTAATTTAAAAGACAAAATATAGTCAAAACACTCTTAAAAAAGAAAAAAGCACAAGAATTTAAATGTCAAGTACCAATTGAATAATAAAAGATAAATAGACAAATATATACATGGTTACCTATTTTTTATTGCTTAGCTGGGTGTATTAATACATATATGTATATATATATATATAATATTTTTATTCATGGTCACGGTTCTCCCGTCATTCATTGATTTGCTCGAGCGGACTCAGTAACATCTCCATCGTGAGACTTGTTGTTACTGTGTTTGGCATATTGAATACATCACGGGTAGCTTGCCAGGCTTTAAGGCACCATAATTTACAAAGTTGTTCATAACAAAGTTTAAGCACACATTATTCTACCTCTATTTGACTACCAATAGGACCTTTCTTACACTAATGTCTTCAGAGTCTCTAACTTCCATAGCCTGTCCCCTTTGACAGCACGTTTTAAGTTTATTTATTGTAATTTGGGCCTCCTCCAGGCCGGTTACTGGTCTGTGCTTTCAACATTATATTTTAACAAAGACAGCAATCTATTAGGGAGAGGGAAAGATGTTCAAACTTTTTAATATAGTATACCTTTCATGGAAAAATAATATTCCCCCATCATCACACTTACAATCAAAAACTTAAACTACAGGTTGCTGGTTATTCACTAAATAGAAAGACAATATACTAAAAACAACCTATTTTACAATCTTCCCACCATAAACAGATGCACACTCTACTTTGTACAGAAGTATCCATGGCATCATTATTCATAATTCTCAAGGAAAATGAAATTAATCAAATGCCTATTAATACTTCACAGATAAATAGCATTGTTTATGGAATACGACAGTTAATAAAAATAAGCTACAAGTACATAGAGCAATGTAGATGAATCCCACAGCATGATTTTTAAGGGGAAAAATACAGAAAGTCCATACAATTTCATTTGTATTAAACACCAAGCTAGTTAAAATTTTACCTGGACTTTTACGCAAGTTGTATACACATGGTGAATTTCTTTTTATGTTTTGATTTGCTGTTTGATTTTCATACCAATTTTCTGGAGTCTTCAAAATGTACATTGAGGGTATATAAACTTTTATGTATGTACATTGCACATTTTTGTTTTGTAGGACCACACCCTAGGACTTACTCCTGGTTTTGTGCTCAGTGGTCACTCTTAGTAGGGCTCAGGTTAACAACCAGGTCAGTCCTATAGTAGGCAAATGCCCTACCTACTATATCATCTCTCCAGCCCTATATATTATACTTTTATAAACAAAACTAATAAAAAGTGTGCTGTCAAATGACTTTCTCCATACTTTCAGTTAGCAAAGGCTTACCAATGTTAATAAAAATATGAAGAAAACCAAATAGAATGCACACATATGTAAAAATACATACATGAATATGTATATCTAATTACATATAAATGTAAGTGGCCTGTGCAATTTTAACTAGTGATTTACATTGGCAGTATATAGCCCCAATGAGACATTTGACAATATCTAAAGTCATGTCCTTATTCTTTCTGAGACAAGGAATATGTAGTGAAATGGCTAAATATGGAACAACTTTGATAAATATATATATATATATGTATGTATGAATATATACAACAGCCCAAATTAAATAGTTACTTGATTCAAATTGCCTTTTACAACAAAGTTGAGAAATCTGACTTAAAAGCTGTTCTACTGAACATGCCTTTAGTGAAACAATGCAGATTTCTTTAGACCTATTCTCTCCTTGATAGCAATTCCCAGCATGTTATCCTGGAGACCCACAGGACGGCGTGTGCTATTTGCCATATGCTTCCTGACAAATTCTTGACTCCCCTCAGCTTTAAATTCCCTGAATATTAATTAACCTTTAGAACTGCAAGTCAACCGAATCATGCCTTAAAACCACAGTTTTTTTTTCCTCCTTTCACTGACCTGAGTTTATTGTAGTTTATTATTTTCTTAGTGCCAAATAAAAGCAGAATAAAGAGAAAAAGCAAGCAAGATTTTGTTCCTAACAAAGTAAATAGCACAAAAGCTTTGTTTCTACTCCCAGACACTTGACGGTCTAAAATCTTGTCAAAGTATTTTCAATTTGATGATTCTATTTCCATCTTTGTGAGGGAAAAGAGTTTGAGGTCAGGTTTACTGGACACTAGTAAAATTGTTCCTTCTAAGCTGTATGCTGTGCTAGAAAGTCAAGTATTCTCAGGGCAAAATAACAGAACAAGGAAGAGTCTTAATCTCAGTTAAAATGAGATCCCTCTTTTCACTGTCCAACACAGTAAGAGTTATTTTTCTGGACAAAACTATCGACTCTACACTCATGACTGCACAGTAGATTATGAATTGTGGTGGATTTTCAGTGTCATGTTTAGTTCAAGAAATCAAGGATTTCTACAGTTTCCTTGCCCCCCTCCCCATGCTTTAAAAATTCTTAAAGCTGATTCTATGAAAAATGGTATACTCAAACACAAATCTAAAGAAACCATTATTGAAGTGTAATTTATTTATTTTTTTGTTTATTTTTGCTTTTTCGGACACACCCAGCGATGATCAGGAGTTACTCCTGGCTTTGCACTCAGGAATTACTCCTGGCGGTGCTCAGGGGACCATATGGGATGCTGGGTATCAAACCCGGGTCGGCTGCATGCAAGACAAATGCCCTACCCACTGTGCTATCATTCCAGACCCCCCCCCACACACACACCAAAGTGTTACCTCATTTTATAACTTTCTTGTAAAAGTCAGTTATAACCTTGGTTTGAAAGATAAGGGCAGAGCTCAATAATCATTTTTAAAAACTAGACATCACTTTTGTTACCTGTAGAAAAGCTTAGGACTTATAGGTAATGGTAGAAAGTAGATTTGAATAGTTTTGGGGGTGGAGGAGTACTCCCAAGCAATACTCAGGTGATCTGGGGACTAACTGTATCAACTGGTTCAATATTTAGGCCCAATGATGGAGCACTGCTTGGGGACATTAATTTTGATCATCGCCAAGTTCACATCTAATGTGCAGGGCATTCACAGTCACATCTGGTAGGAACTGGCATGTACCTAACATATCGACCCGCACATGCAAAGAGTCTACTCTAATCGCTTGAACCATCTCCTTGGCTGTCATTTTATCTGAGTTTTCACATTATAATACACTTTCATTCGTTTAGTAAAAAAAAAAAGACTATGGTAGATACTTTGTGAAAATAATTGCAATTGGTTAGACAGAGGCTGAAATACAAAGTGAGATAGTCGCTCCCTTAGACACTGCCTTTGCAGAAAGTTGTGATAAATCCATTATGGATAGGTAGAGCTAGGTTGCAGGAGCACCTGGCAGACCCCTAAGTTTCACGAAGCAGGAACTCAACAGTTTCATTATGCCTGAGCAGCTGCAATTTCCCAAGTCTCAAGCTCACAGGACTTGTTTTCTGAATCTAAAAGATAACCAAAAGCTGCTTAATTGATGCCATCATCAATGTAAACCATGAGTAGTTTTCCATTCAAGGAGGAGTATGGATATTTCTTTATCACATCATACCATCATTTACAGTTAATCCCATTACTTTATTGTCATTCTAGTTAGGCCCATTTACATATGGAAGGTAGTTCTGTTCTGTTTTGTTTTCCCTTTGGGTTCCATTAGCTTTAGGTGAAAGTTAATAATCTATATAATTATAAAGTATATTTTTTTCTGAAAATGGAATGTCACATAAATATGAACCATTGCTAGAAACTACTTGAATTTCTTTTGTCTCCCTTAACATCCTGCTAGCTCTGGGGAAGTTTACTATCCCACTCACTCATTTCAAATAATGTGTCTTCCTCTCTAATTAAGGAGGACGTTAATTTCATTAGCTGAACTAATTGCTATCATCCCTCTTAGACCAATTTATTCCAGGCTACCTTGTGATTTTTAAGGTCCCTTTGCTCATTTTTTTCCAGTCACTAAACAACCTTGAGTTGCTTCTTGGAATTCCAACCTCTGGGAGAAGAACTTTTTGTCAGACAAAGCCCTTAGGTATACTAAACTCTACCTGTGATATATTAGTCAACTCAGAGAGTAAAGCTATCATTTGAGTAATTAAAGCTGATGATCATTTGCTGTGACACAAATAATCCACCATTATAATCATTTTTTTAAAAAACAAGGTCTACTCGGCAAGGTACAGTTGGGAAATGAAAATATATTTGCATCAGTACATTTACCTAGGGCCCTTATATACAAAGGATAATGAAAGCAAGCTCTCTGATACACTAAATTATTACATATTTTATTCAATAGGAAAAATCAAGTATCTACTGTGCATTCTATGTGGCCCCACAGTGTTCTAATATTGCATTTGTACCATTTTCAATCTATTGTTCTACCTTTCTTTGCTAATAAACATGGCTTATAGAACCGATATTTTTCTAGTGGAGTAAACATTATTTTAAAAAACTTTCCCCAAAGAGGGTGTATTTTTCCTGGAGATACTGCAATGCTAGATGGATGCATGTAGTGTGCAAAGAAAGCTCCTATTTCATCTCCCTACATCAAAAATCCGTTTCATAAATTGCCACCAGATAGAGGATGAAACATATTAAACTGTTAAAAACAGAGACTACACTCTCTTATAGCCAAAAGGCCAAGAAGTAATTGAATGGAAAAAAAAAAAGAAACACTTTTTTTGCATGTACATTTGTATATTCAGATTAGGTAAGTGAATAAACATACACATTTTAAAAATTCCAAAGCTAGTTCAGTAACAAGTTAGAGAATACCATCATTTGTAATAAGGTATTCTCATGAGAAGAAAATATTAAAGTGGCACCCCCCCCCAAATAAAACCAACAAAGAATTTGGATATCATCATCCAAGTGACTAAACAGAAGGATTGTCACGTTTCCTGCGGGACCTCGGTTCCCCTGTGTTAGAGAGCAGCTGAAATGCTGTGATTTTTTTTTTCCTTCTAGACCTACATAATCTTTTTATAGGCACATCAAAATGTTCAGCCAATAATACATTTCAAGTTTCAGGAAGAAGAAAAAAAGTTTAATAACCTTGAATAAGTTACCTATTAAATAAATCTGGAATTTGGCATATAACACTTTATTCTTCATGTTTTGGATGTAATTGCTACTCTTGGAAGCTCTGAGCAACAAGGAATTTGGTAAATACTATGTTGATTCAGTATGTACCTGCATTCCAATTTTCTCTGCATTTTGAAAAGAAAATATATGAAGCATTTTGAGGGATAACTATCACTCCTTTAATAATCAGGGCTATATGAAGAGTTGTGCTATTTTCTGTTAAAAGTACAAATAGTAGACACATTTTTAAATATTTAATTGACTACAATTCCATTTGTATACACTCACTGGGGTAAAAAAACAAAATGTTTACTATTAAAAGAGGCAACTACCTATTCCTCTTTTTCAGCTTAATATCAAAATGAAAACTAATTAGAAGGAGTTAATCTCTGTTTATTCAGTAATTTACATTAAATTAAACTTGTCTTTAGATGTACAATTTCACAAACATGGAACATGTTTTATCCATGTGTGTCTGTGTAGAGATAAAGTATCCTTTTTCTGGTTAAGTATATTTTGGGGAATGCATTTCAAGTGATAGAGCACAGCCTTTGCCTTGAGTTTCATCTGGGATCATATACACAATTATGTATGACCCTGGTTGCCCCAGCACTATATGGACATATATTAAATTCAGTAATTTTTATCTCCCTCCCTTCTTCCTCCCTCCCTTCCTCCCTTCCTCTTTCCTTCTTCCTTCCTTCCTTCCTTTTCTTTATCTCTCTCTCTTTCCTTCTTTTTTTTTCTTTTCGTGGGGGAGCAGAAAACTGTTATTCTACATTCATCAGTGTTCAGAATTTATCTCTGGTTTGTATTTAGGGGCCAATTTTAGAGATGCTCAAAGGATCATTAGCAGTGTCAGGGATTGAACCTAGTTAAGTGCCTTAACCCCGTACTATCTCTCCGGCCCAAATGCAGTGATTTTCTTCCTAATTCTCACTTGACATGGCTTAGCAGAATTCTAAAGAATTATAAATAAGCATAAATTACATTAAATAAAATTTTATTTATTCCAGCTTTTCTGGAATGTGATTTATATTTGAAAATCATGTCTTTTCACAACTGACAAGTATACCCAATTTTAATTGTTTGAAAGCAAATGACAACTGTATATCCATCTCATATGGCATATCACAGAAAGTGGTAATGTAAGTTGTATCTTCTCTGCTGTCTGATGTACATAGTCAAACACTGGGGCACTGGCTTATGAAAAAAGGGTGGAGATTTATTGCATAATTGACCATCAAGGGGACAAAACTTTGGGCTTAAATATGTCTAGATGAGAGAATTATAGTAAATAGTTTGAAATATTCAGCTGAAGGACTTTCAAATAGATACATTAATGGAAGAAGTGAGGAAGAAAGTGAGCAAACAGATAACATATACTCTAGTTAACTGATAATAAATTCTAAACATAATGCTTTACCCAGTTGAGTTTTCCTCCATCTCTTTGTGCAGGAATTGGAAATATTGTTGGTTTCACAAGCTATTTAAGGTTAAAATCTTTTTTTTTCTTTCACATGGACAAGGGTAGCTCTCTATATTTAGATTTTGAGAAAATAACTTTCCATTTACTTATTTTAAAAAAACTTGTAAAAAAAGTAACTAGTTTCTCAGATTTAGTGCTTTTAGGCAAATTATGAAAGTGTTATTTCTGGTTATTTCTGGTTTAATTAACTTCTGAGTAGTCTAACACTACAGTTTTAGTTGGAAACTGCAGTTCGTTAGGAGTTTGATAAATTCTAAGTTTCAAACTTTATCATAAAATTTAAAAATTGCATTTTAGCAATTAATAATAATAAAGTGATTAAGAAACAAGGCAATTAAGTAATAAAATATACTGACTTATATAATAGCATCAAAATTTGTCGTTTTGTGTTAGTTCAATTCTCCTGGCATGGCAATCTCAATTTTTTTCTATTATTGTGATATTGTCTTTAATAGTGAATATAAAAAATAAGATTGAAAATTCATATAGAGGAGGAAAAGAAAAAAATAGTGTCCAAACTATGCATTATGTAAAACAACTCATTTTTTATAAAAAAAAAAAACCTTTTAAGAGAGCAGCTAGATTATTCATTGACTAAAAATATAATTAGTGAATATATAGCCAAGTGTGAATTAGATTCCTCATTGAAGTGGGTACCTCAGAATCAAAGCATAAGTTAGGCACTTGCTTTACAAAACAAACCCACAGAAGAGCAAAGGCCAGAGCTTGACTAGAAATATATGAAGGGGGGCGGGGGTGCATTTTAAAGTTGAATGGAAAGTATAAATTCATTGATTTTTCTTTTGGGTGTGCTTTTCTCTTTTCATTATAGTAATTTAGGCTGTCAGTGTCTCAACCACTCCAATTCCTGGAGATAGAAAGTAGAAGAATAATGGCCATGATGAGGAAAAAGAAAGAAAGTCATTGCCAGATGGCTACCAGTTTTGGCTTTACAAAATAAATAGTTCTTAAAAGAGCGTGGAATAATTAACGATATGAAAATAATATGAAAATAATAATCAATACTAAAATCTTTTTATGTTTAAGGTGATAAATTGTGCTATATTTTTGCTATTCTATTTAAAAGTTAAAAATGTTTAATTTGGGAATTTTAAAAAAATCTAAATTGAAGGAATATTCTCCCTATCGCTGAGATTAAGATGAATGTGACTATCTGTGACAATCTCATTTCAAAGACAGCAATCTCTCCTTCAGGTGTGTTGAATGGGAGAACAATCTGACAGTGAGGGAATATTGAGAGAGGAGAAGATTAAGTAGTGCTCTGAAGTTTGAATGGATTTTTCATTTTTTGATTGAGAGGCTCCAATATTTTACTTTACCTTTTGAAGAATATATCATCATTATCATCATAAAAATCTGATCTCCATATTGGGGCATTTTTCAGACTTGTTGAACTGAGATAAACATAAACAAAAAGGAATCACAAGAGTTTATATATCATATTCTTATATTTTTTCATAATTTTATTTCAGTTCCTGAGAACTTTGAAACACTGTGAAAAGTGATAGTGGTCTCATCAGGTTTGCACTTTGTGATTATAAGCACTTTGAACAGCATATTTTAGAACACAAACGTTTTTCATGTTAATCTGCCAGAAGGTATTATTATTATTATTATTATTATTAACAACGTATTAAAATAATGTCAACTGACAAGAAAAGATCTACTATCTTCCACTATAACCACATTTTCCTTAATCAATGATATAAATGTATATGATAAATCTCTTGTGTGTCTTGCTAAAAGGAGTAGCACTGTAACACTGCCCTCCCATTGTTCATCGATTTGCTCAAGCAGGCACCAGTGACATCTCACAACAAATTGTGAGACTTGTTGTTACTGTTTTTGCCATATCGAATACTTCACAGGTAGCTTGTCAGGCTTTGCTGTGAGGGCTGAATACTCTTGGTAGCTTGCTCGGTTCTCCGAGAGGGGTGGAGGAATCAAACTCAGGTCGACCACATGCGAGGCAAACACCCTACATGTTTTGCTATCCCTCCAGCCCACTAAAAAGAGTAGGATTAAAAAAAGAATAAAGTGATTACATAAATATCAAATTTTTCTTAAGTATTTTACATATTAAGCTTTGCATAAAGTGAATTACAAAATTAGATACATATATAAACTGCTGATTAAGGCATGGCAGATATCTATCTATGCTATATTCAAAACATCATATATTAATTTTGATTTGTGTTCAAAGCATAAAACATTTCTGATGAGCATTATTGTTATAATATGTTTAAATTAAAGAATAGAAAGTAAGAAAATTTAGCTTAGATAATATTGCAGATAACAGGGTGTAGGAGGAGTAAGTAGATATTCTATTCAATCTATTCTGTCATTTTAATTTGGGGGGTTGGAAATCATGATTCCCCAGGGGTCTATTCCAGTGATACTTAGCTAAATAGGACAGGAAGTTCAATTCTCAGTTCTGGTGATGCAGTGCTTCTGGGGGACACAAGATTGATCCCACTAATTCCCTGTAGGGACTTTCCATGTCAAGAATCAAACTCTGGGCCTTTCATGCTTCTGATTCTAGACCCATTTCTGGGTGCCTTAAATCAATTTTTATCTAAAGGACTAGAAAATCTACCTAACTAGAACTTTAAATAGCATTTAGTGGAAACTGTTTTCAAAAAATATGAGAGAGTATTGCCAGAAAGTAGAAATATCCAAAGTCTATCACAACTGGGATTATTTTATACTATGTATAGATCAGTAAAGGCAAGGAGGAAAGGAAGGAAAGTATCCTAATATTCTTGACTCTAGACTCTATGTATAGCTTCTCTTGACTAATCCTAAGAATATTATAGAGGGCAAGAGAAATCGAATCGATTTGATTTTTGTTTATCATTGATAATAATTTATTAATATATATTTGTGGGTGGGAATCATGATTTATCATATAATGATCATATAATAATATTTTATTGATAACAATTAATATTACTAATAGACATCACAATTCTATTAATATATTCTTTTTTTTTTGCTTTTTTTTTTTTGGATCACACCTGGCAATACTCAGGGCTTACTCCTGACTCTGCACTGAGA